AAAGCAGAAAAAAAAGAAAAATGCAAGAGAAGAAAAACCGCGAAGACCGAAGGCTCTACCACCGGCTTTTCTCATAAGCGCCAAATCAGAGAAAAGCTATGCGGGCATACTTCGGAAAGTCAAAGAGGAAATGGCGAATGTAGCGACGAAGGCTGTTTCGACAAGGTACGGAGAACAATCTCCGGCCAACTACTGCTGGTCTTGGACCGGAAAAGTGAAAACCGGACAGCAGATTTCCAAGCGCAAATGGCTGAGCTGCTGAAGGATGAGGCAGAAGTTACCTGTAAGAGACAGAAGTAGAGGTGATCATTAAAGACATAGAAGAGACGACAACTAAGGAAGAAGTATGGTTAGCCCTTAAAAATGTAACTAAAGATAACATCCAAATGGGGGCGATCAAGTCTATGTGGGTAGCGTATGAACAAACACAGGTAGCCCATGTCAAACTAGCGGCTGAGGATGCACAAAAAGTGATCAAAGAGGATGGCAAGATCCGAATCGGGCTTGTCAACTGTCGGATAAAAGAAGAAAATCGACCGTTGAAATGCTACAAATGTTGGCACTCAGGACATGTCGCTAAAGTTTGCAGCAGTCAAGTAAATCATTCAGAACTCTGCTTGAAGTGTGGCCAGGCTGGGCACAAAATTGCTGAGTGCGTCAAAAAACCGCACTGCCCTCTGTGTGCCGAAAAGGACATTAGCTGCAACTACATCGTTGGAAGCTACAAGTGCGCTGTCTTTAAAGAGGAGAAGAAGAACAAGAGTCAACCCATTAAAAGAAGATGAGAGTGCTACAACACAACCTCAACCACTGTGACGCAGCCCAAAACTTACTTGGGCAAACAGCAAGAGAGTGGAGAGCAGACATAGCGATCATCTCGGACCCTTACAAGATACCAGATGATCAGACGTGGGCTGGGGATGGAACTGGTAAAGCGGCCATTTGGTCCTGCGGGAATACCCCATTCCAGAACAGGGGCGATAGCAGACGAAAGGGCTTTGTTCGAGCGAAACTGGGCAACATAAATTTTTATAGTTGCTATGCCCCTCCAAGCATGGAGCCCGACCAATTGAAGAAGCTTCTGTACGAACTATGCAACGTCGTGAAAAAGCACGAACCAGCGGTTGTAGCGGGGGATTTTAATGCCTGGGCGCTGGATTGGGGCAGTAAGAAGACAAACGAGAGGAGAAGTTAAGTACTAGAGGCGATAGCGGGACTTGAGGTTGAGCTTATCAACACAGGAGGGATACCAACATACGAACGGGAAGGGAAAACATCGATTATTGACCTGACGCTTGTTAGCACCTGCCTTGTGAGCCAGGTAAAGAACTGGAAGGTAAACGATATTTTCAACCTGAGCGACCATCGACTGATTTTCTGGGAGTTCGGAAGAAGGAGGCTTTCTATAAAGAAGAACAATGCAAGAGGATGGAAGGTGGGAGACTTTGACCAAGAACTATTCCAAACTTCCCTGAATTCAAGCCAAATAATTACCGCTAATGCAGAAGAAGAGACGGAGGAGGTCGTAAGAAGAGTTGCGTCTGCATGTGACGCGACAATGGCCCGGAAAAGTAAGGTAAACCGACTTCCACCGGTATACTGATGGAACGATAACATCAAGGAACTCAGGAAGGAAAGTATTAGGGCAAGGCGTGCAGCTACGAGGAGCCGTAAAAAAGGCAGGAACTGGATAGAACTCCAAGAAGAATATAAGACAAGATTAAAGTACGTCAAAGCCATAGAAGTCAGCAAAAAGCGATGCTTTCGCGAGCTACAAGAAGAGATGGAACGAGATCCATAGGGAAAGCCCTACAAAGTGGTGGTAAAACGGCTCAAAAAGTCAGAAACGAAACCGCCAACTTGTCCGGTCCTGGTGAAAAAGTGGTTAGAACACTGACGTGGACTGGGAGATACCATCAATGACGATGGATGAACTGACGAGGGCCTACAAAAAGGTGGGGAACCTGAAGGCACCAGGCCCGGATGGTGTACCGAATATAGCACTGAAGGTGGATATCAAAACTGCCCCAAACATGTTCCTGAACATGTATGGCAGGTGCATACGGGAGAGATCATTCCCAAACAGATGGAAGAAGCAGAAGCTGATACTTCTCCCCAAAGAGAAAAATCCAGCGGATGAACCATCATTATATCGACCGCTCTGTATGCTTGATACGGCAGGAAAGATACTAGAGCGCATCATTCACGGAAGGATTGAGGTGATATCGGAGACCTACCTAACAGGTAACCAATACGGCTTCCGGAAAGGTTGATCTACACTCTACGCTATCGAGCAGGTGACCAGTATCGCTAGGTCCGCTATATCTGGTAAGAGGTGGAAAGGGGGAGACAAGAAGTACTGTCTTATTGCTGCTCTCGATATCAAGAATGCGTTCAACACAACGAGATGGGATCGCATAATGAACGGGCTAGTGACAATAAATGTACCAGGATACCTGCAAAAGATGATGGCTAGCTACTTCACCAATAGAATTCTGATGTACGAGACAGAAGAGGGCACTAAGGAGTACCGGGTGACAGGGGGGGGGGTACCGCAGGGTTCGGTTCTTGGACCGCTCTTGTGGATCATCCTATACGACGGTTTGCTGCGACAGACACTGCCGAGAGCAGTAACACCGGTGGCGTTCGCAGACGATATCGCCTTGGTTATTATAGGAAAACATAAAGAGGACCTCGAAAACCTTTTTGGAGTGACGTTCGCAAGATACCAGAAATATTTAGAGTATTTAGGTTTGACATTAGCGAAACACAAGACAGAGGCAGTCCTGATAACAGGCAGGAAAGTGATAGAAACGATCACTTTACAAACCGGTAGACACCAGATTGTCTCCCGATCGGCCAACCGATATCTGGGGGTGACGATAGACGCTCTGTTGAATTTAAACAGCAAGTAGAGAGCGTAGCAGAAAAGGCATCAATGACTGGAAGAGCACTAGCGAGACTGATGCCAAATATAGAAGGTCCCAAGCAAAGAAGAAGGGCTCTACTGACGACGGTGATCACATCGATAATCACGTATGCCATTGCATTGTGGTCAGAGGTGCTGAAGAACAAGGATTCTCGCAGAAAAATCGACGCAGTGTACAGATACAGCGCACTGCGAGTAATCAGCGCATTTCGGACGGTCTCCAGAGAGACGGCAGAAGTTATCGCGGGGCTGCTACCATTAATTGAGCTAGCCGAGGAAAGAAGGCGCATTTATTACCAAAGGGAGAAGGATGTCGAAGCGAACCGGAGCAAGAAGGAAGAGAGGAAGGCAAATCGCTTGGGATAGAACAAAGAAAGGTAGGTGGACTCATGGCCTTATCCCGAGTATGGAAAAGTAGATACGTCGCACACACGGCCAGGTAAACTATCATCTAACTCAGATGCTAAGTGGCCATAGATGCTTTCGAGCATACCTGTACAAATACAGGTATGAGGACACACCAGAGTGTCTGACCTGCAAAGGAGTAAGTGAAGACGTCGAGCATGTCTTTTTGGCATGCGGGAGGTATGACACACGACGGAAAGAATTGGAACTCACGGTGAACGCAGCTGTTACACCAGATAGCATAGTAGAGCTGATGCTTTCCTCGGAGAAAGCATGGGCAGCAGTGACAACCTTCGCAATGGGAGTTCTCCAAGAACTACGATGCGAAGAGCAGAAGAGGACGAGACTGAGGACATCAGATTAGAAGATAAGAATAATGAAATGACGGAATAAAGATCATAAAGAAGAAGTGACAAGGAAAGAATAGCGGATAATAGCTAACACCTTCCCTGTGTAGGAAGTAGTACCTAACGACAGTTCCTCGGGGGATCAAAGGATCAGGAGAAAGAGGACTTCGGGCTTCGGCCTTGGTCGGAGAACGAAGGGGTTTTAGTCAGTATGACATACGGCGGTGCTGGGGGTGAGGAGGTCGGAGATGTGAACGCATACACGGTCACATCCTAGACCCACCTCATAGCCAACCCGTTAAGGTCGGTGCGTTCGCAATAAACACACAGATTTTACCCTACACCTCTATAAAAAAAAACACACACACACACACTTTGAACTGCAAAAAATTCATTTTATACTAATTATAATATACATATAATAGCATTTTTAGTTATATATATTAGCGCTTTTGGACCCTATACCAATCGTGTAGCTAATATACACAATAAGAACTGTCCGGGGTACTAGTGCCAGTAGCTCTACCGGTAAAGCATCGGTCTGCGGATCCATAGGACGCGGGTTCGATCCCTCGATCTGTCCATTCGTTTTTTTTCGATAAAATTTACTTTATTACGTCTAAAAATTTAACACACACAGTGAAATGAAAGCGTGAAATGCAGAACGCACGGGCATCAGCTTAAGGAGCAAATCAGCTCAATAAGGGGGGAAGGGGGGCACTGAAACTTCATAGAACGTACGGGCACCAATTCGGTAAAGAGGGGGGGGGAGGAAGTGAGTTGACAGTGCTGAGCTAAAGATACTCAGGGACGATATCAGCTCAGTGAACTGATACCCCCCTGACCTGAGGCTTCTCCAATTTACCTACTTGTAACGAATCTTCCAGTTTTCAATTGATTTAAGTAATGCAATGTACGCGTCTAAATAATATATATAATGTAGGTATATGTCTACACATATACATATGTACCTACATACTTATCAGTACACGAAATATGAACCCGTATACATTCATAATTATATGCATGTTTATGTGCATAAAAATGTTAATAACTCCATTTATACATGTACGCTTGACGGGATAGCGATAAAAGTTCCAACCTTGCGTAGCTGTACACCATAAACGAAGAACTTGGCCCGCTGAGATTTTTGATCTACTGGATCAAATCTATCATATACTAAAGTTATAAAAGAATTGGTCGTAAGTTATTTTCTACAAAGATCATGATTCTTTCGAGGATGATAAAATTGTGTTTTATAGGAATTACATTCAATTAATGTTTATAGCATATAAATTAAATCAAAGTATTCTACGTACCTAACATATTTGCGGCCTCAGTTTCATCTTGATCGAATCTTCCAGTAATTCGCCTTTCAGAATAGTTTGGTGACGTATCCGAATCACGAGAAGTATCTTCGTAGTCTATTTTGTTTGAGTAATTATTTCCTGAAACGCGTAAACTAGATCCCTTCAAACTTAAATGCCGTGAACAAAAGCCGCGACGTTGACTTTCTTTAGTACATGGATCTTTACTACATAATCGTCTCCATTGTTTACCATTAAACTTTTTTCGTATTCCATTAGGAGTTACAACTACATCGCCTTTTTTATACTTGTGAGGTGTAGCAGCTTGTGATCTATAAAGTAATTGAATACAGAATATTATTACAATATAATATCTAATAGTTTTATCAACAATGAAATTTAGTATATATACGAAAATGATCGCAACAAAAAATTATCATCTCCATACATTGCTGTGAATAAAATTCAAATTGCTATGCATTATTGAAATATAAAATAATTATTATTTATTGAAGTTTCGAAAGCTGTTTTTCCACCGGCAACAAATGTGAGTCACAACATGTATAATTTACGTAAGTTGTGACTAAATGAATATATGTGAAAAAGATATTTTGACAGATTTCTTGGTTTAGGGATAACTTCTCTTGAAATATCTGCCTGAAAGACTACATTGTCGAAAATTAATAAGAGTTGGTGAATTAATTCTCACTCCCGTGAACTATTCTATTCATAGTGTGACGAGAGCAAGCGATGCGCTCGTTCTCGTCGGAATTTTCCCCAATTCCCCCTTTCTCTCGGCAAGGCACGGTGATCAGCGCTAGGCGCATTTAAGAATGCGCCTAATGCATGGTCTTTGTTTCAGCCGACGGAGATTGCCGAGCGAAGCCGAGCCTGCCCGAAGCTGTTACGCTGACGACAGAGTATAGAGGTGTTAGAAAGAGAGAGAGAGAGAGAGAGAGAGAGTTAGGGGCGTGCGTGCCCCACGCAAGATTAGACAGGCGCACGTCGCGAACCAATTAGTGCATTGGTCGCGCGCCACCTAATAAGTAGGTCAAGTGGGGAGAGAAAGAACGAGGAAGAAGCTGTAGATCGCGAAAGAAAAACGATCGTCACAGACGGTAGTGAGTCGAGCAGTCAGCTAGAAGGTTCCCAGTCGATCAGACGGTCAGTGGTAAAAAGTTGAAAAGTGCAGTTGAGGACAAAGGGTCAGCCGAACGCACACGCCACCAAGGAGCCGAGAGGAACCGAGAGGATAGAGGACGACTGCCTTGTTCCAGCAAGTTCTGCTCGGGACGCTACCCGAAGAAGCCGGCAGGAGTTGCCCAGCGACGACTAGCAACAATGTGCGCAGGGCGCAGCCAGGCCTCGCGTTCCAGTATTGAAGGTCAAGTCTCATAAACTAATCTTTCTCTCTCTCTCTCTCTCTCTCTCTCTCTCTGGTGAGCGCCGCACGCACTTTACATCGGCTCCAGGTTTTTATAGTTTTACTAATATAATTTTGTTGCACCTCCGCGAGCAACTTGTTCCAGGTGATGTGTAGTCCAAGGGGCAGCTAGGCTTGAGATAGTTAGTGCATAATTTGCCCTGGAATTACACATTACCTCAATCTACAGTTGTCACATAACCTGTTCCATCTCAATCTGAATGTACGTGAGACTTCAGCAGCCACTGGTATCATCTGGCATCATTTCGCACTACATAGATTTTTCCTGCACATCGGATTTCTGCAACATCGGCTACTAAAGAACACATTGTCATCGCCTACGCACCGCTTTAGTGAGAGAGAAACATCAAAAATTTAATTTAATAATTATCGCCCCGTTATCCGGCTGTGCCCTTCATCAATTTCTCCTGTATCCGTCATCGTTGCCTCTTTGATTGAGTGATTTGTTTGTTGTTTCTGTTAGCCACCTGTTAATTTATTGTTAAGGAACCTATTTTAAATACTCATAATTCCAATCGCCATTTATGTTCAGTTCCTCCGCTAATTAATATTCCCGCTAAATTTTCCAATTTTCCCGTGAAATTCGAAATATCTTGCATTTCATGTAACTGCGGGTAGGAGTCACGAAACTCGTTTACTCTTGTTCGCGCCAAATTTTCTATGTATCACATTAATACTATCTTGACCATTTCGACTACGTTAATTCGCTCTTTCCTCTCCAGTTTATTTACTTGTTGAGTTTAACGTAGTTCGACTCCCTCTTAATCCTCTAATCCTTAAGCCTGTAATCCCTTACGTTTTCTTAATGTCAATTAGAGACTGTGCCAAGTGTTATCTTCCATTACGACGACTCGACAGATCTCTTTTGTGCGGCTCCTGCAATTCACTTTACCACCTTAACTGTATATCCCCAAATTATAGGCCGATATCTAAAACTACTGAATTTATATGTTGTGCTGACTCGTCACCTTCCAACCAATTACCGATCGCCAATACAGCCGCGCTATTCGCCACGCCTACCGGACACTCTTCATCTATACTCGTCCGGGCCAAGAAACGCCTAGCCTCGCCTACTCAGCCGTTATTGTCGTCGGTAACCAAACACCTCTTTACTGCGCCTCTTCATTCGTCACCTGAGTCCTCTGTTCCTGCAATCAACGTTTTCGCTGCGAATCAGTACCACCTTCAATCGTCGTAGCACTCAATCTCACATCAAGGCGTAGATCGCTCCACTACCATGGCGGATGCACCTGAGTGGTTCAAACAAGAGGCCCAACTAAATGCCAGCAGACATCAAGAGATGCGCGATTTGTGGTCTCAATTGCGCATGGAGCACCAGGTCAGGGACGCTCTCTTTGCAGTAACAGATGAGCCGGAACTTCTCGTCCACGGTCTTCCCGCTGACTATCAAGGCACACTCTTCCAAGCAGCAACTTCACTGCTTTTTGCGCTCGGTTTTGGTGGGATGCACAATTTGCCGCAAATCATACATACGCGTGATTGGAGCCATTCTTCTGTCACTTCCCAAAGCTCTTTATCACTTCCCGGCGCTGCTCATCGGTCTACTCGCTCATTCGCTTTCCTTGTGGACTCTCCATCAATCAGGGATAGGATTCTGCGTTTCTCGCCGAAGTTAAAGGAGCACACCGTCCAGTCCATCTTTGGTACCGGTGGACCGACGAGAGTCTACGTTCGTCCCATATGGCCGAAGCCGGTCTTTGAACTTCTCACAAAGGCGAGAAAGGTTAGTGCTGAGCTTGGTTATGCCTGGCCAGTGGTCCGTAATCTGAGAGTGTTCTGCAGGCAGACTCAGCGCTCCGAGCTGATCCCCATTTTAACTGAGGCTGACTTACGCGGGCTCGTGCCTCTCCAACGCATGACACCGTCTGCCGTGAGGCCACCCACTCAGCATACTCATACTCACAGACGATTGTCGCCCTTACCCTCTTCGCCCCATCAAATTAATACCAACCAAATCTGACATACACTGAAATCCAACAACTTAGATGAGTCAAACTTATCTTTCACTGCTGCACACGTCAATATTAACGGATTAAATGTACCCTCTCATTTCTCTCTCCTTGAGGCTGAAGTCCAGACTGTCCCCTATGACCTTATAGCTATTTCCGAAACCAAACTCAGCGAATTTGTATCAGATGCTCACCTTGCTCTTCCGGATTACAATTTTGTACGACATGATCGTGTGGGCAAGGAGGGTGGAGGTGTTGGTTTTTATGCGCGGTACTCATTGATGATCAAAATACTAGCCGAGTCTGATCCAGTCTATGATAATACTCCTGAATTTGCCGACATTCAACAGAATCGACGTAACAGGCTACTTTTTGCCGTAGTTTATCGTCGTCCCTCAGCCTCCATCCCCACTTTCTTCTTTGACTCCATCTCTACTTTTCTTCCTTATTATAACGATATCCTAATCACAGGTGATTTCAACTGTGATCTCACCTCTGATCTTCCACATGTTCGTACTTTTCGTGATCACCTGGACTCTCTTGCCTTAAGGGTTGTTTCTACTGCACCTACACATCATCCTATCTCAACCACTGGGGAAATCACACACACAACCCTTGATTTATTTATCACCAACTACTCAACTAACATCTTACAGTTTGCTCAATCTAATTCACCCTTTGTTCCTTATCATGACTTAATCGCTGTCTCAATCTCAGCTACATACATCAAAAATACCATGAAAACTTTTTCCTCCCGTCCTCTCCAACACATTGATCCCTCAGCCCTTAATTTGATAATCGACACTAATCTCTCAGTTTTCTCCTCCGGACCTTTACCGGGCCTCTCACACTCACTTGATCAGCTTGAATCTATCTTTACTATCAACGTACTTGCTGCTTTTGATCAGCTTGCTCCACCTCGCAAGATCACTATCCCATCCATGAAAAAGCCCTGGGTCTCTGGGGAGCTACGATCCAAGATGCGCACACGTGATCATCTTTTCCTTCGCTACAAAAAGACAGGTTCTATTGAAGTACTTTCCCAATACCGGTTACTTCGTAATCAAATCTCAAATTCCCTAGATACTGCAAAGAATTCCTTCATTCATGACAATGCAAAGTCTATCACACACAAATGGGGAGCCTTCCGGGACATGGGTGTAGCTTCCAACCCTCTTCCTTCCCCACTACTCCTCTTTTCCCCTGACATTCTGAACGTTTACTACGTTTCAGTTGCCTCTCGTCACCCTGCTCTAACTAAACAAGCTTTCGATGACATAATTAATGCTCCTATATTCGAACCGATTCCCGCTCATTTTCCACAATCCTTCACCTTCTCTACTGTCTCCCAGCGTGAAGTTGAGTTCGAGGTCCTTGCCCTTCGCTCCAAAGGCAAAGGAAACGATGGCCTCTCCTCCCGAATGCTAAAACTTGGTCTTAGTTCTCTAGCTCCCTTCCTCACACTTATGATAAACCAATCCATCCTCACTTCAGCCTTTCCCTCAGCCTGGTAACGCACTATCATCTGCCCTCTCTCAAAAACTAAATCACCCCAGTCTCCCTCTGATACACGGCCGATAGCTCAGCTTTGCGAGTCCTCTAAGATCCTGGAGCGCTTACTTCACAAGCAACTCTTGAACTATCTGGAGGCCAGCAATTTCTTTGACCCAAGACAGGCTGGATTTCGCGGGGGGCACTCAACTGAGACCGCTCTGATTGGTCTGTTGGAGGATGTCAGACGTGCTGTTGAGATGCGTCAGCTCACGATCCTTGTCTTGTTTGATTTCTCCAAAGCGTTTGACAGTATTCCCCATGACCTGCTTGTCCGGAAGCTGCGGGCCTGTAACCTGGCTGACCCGGCTCTTCGCTGGTTTTTCAGCTATCTGTCGGGTCGGTCGCAGGCTGTGGTTGATCGGGC